GGATGCTGGAAATGGATACAGAGTGACAGGTCAGCACCAAGGGCCACATAACGCACCGCAGCCACAAGGCTTAGGGATCCTTCACCCGGGCCGAGAGATCTGATAGGGGGTTTATCCAGAGGGTCAAGGGCCATCACAGCATCACGGCCCTGACATACTGCATGTACTGAAAGCCAACACGGTGGACAGTTATAGTTAATCAATGCTGCTGTGGTGCTGGAGAGCACTGATCGCCCCACTCATTCAGACTATCCCTGAAACAGGCCTGTACTCTTGTTCGTAAGATGTTATTTCAGCTTAAAACTGTTTACGTTCACACCTTCTCTGATCATTTTAAGACTCTTGATTAATCATTTTACAGTCAGGAATAAACCAGCTGGACAAAACTGCGAGAATCTGCCATGGCAGGTTAACTCTTGTCCTGCTAAAGACAAAAACACATGTCCTGTAGGACGAGATGCTTCTCCACCAATGAAAGGAGTTTCAGCAATCCATGTTTTCACTTTTGTCTCTTAGGTGGCAAAGTGACAAATCTTAAGGAGTGTTAGAGTCCTCCAAAAAGAAGAAAAAAAGCTCTATGGGTTATGGACAAGAGCCAGATGCAGGAAAAAAATCACTGCTATATCTTTTGTAATGATGTTGCAAAAGGCCTTGGTAAACTGTACTGAGCGTAGTGTTAGTTGAAGTAGGACACAAATGTTGGGCTCAGTACATCAGGATTTATATCCATGCATGTTGTGTCTGGTCTCATATGTATTGCCATGGTTCTCATCTCCGCCCTGTTCTAGAGGGGTTAGCGGCTTTAGTGATCCTCACAAGAACATAGAAGGGCAGGAAGCTTATGCTCCAGTTACCTCAGAAGTTGGAGCTGGGAATGATGCTACACCCGAGTTGATGACGTTCCAGTAAACAAATTGTAAAACAAAGATGGATGCCTACTGTTGGCTCTTGTTCACAATTGTCAGTTGTCGTTAGCCGTTGTTAGGTGTTGCTAGTTGTTGTTAGCTAAACCAGTTGTAAACAACACATCACGCAGTATTTTACTCTTACAAACACCACAACACTGTGTTCACAATTAGACGTTCGGTAGTACCACATAAACCACTTATTTAATTTTACAAAAACAAAACAGAAGTGCTAATAAATAATACATTACGAGAGCTTTCACTGTTACTCTTTACTTTTTGATGCACTGCGCTGCCATCTTGGATAATGACGTTGTCGTCAAGTTGTCGTCTGACTTCCTGAGCCAGAAATCTGACTTCAGGGGGACGCTCCAGATGAATTTCTGACTCAGAGCTTGGAAATCCCGACTTCTGAGTACAACTAGACCAGAGCCAGACCGGTGCTTTGGTTCAGACATTCAATACTTTTTATTTTATTCTTTTTACATTTGCATGCAGGCTTTTCATGTTTGCATGTAATCATGCTTTAAATAAGAACCCTGCTTATGTTTTCTGTTGCACAGACTAACACTGTGGAACAAGATGGTGCTTGTTCCAGCTGTACAGCCGGCAAACTTCTTCCGTTTACTTTGTGCTGAGCCAAAGATTGTTCAGAAACGACATGATATAAGATGTTTTATAGGCTTATGTTGGCAGGGCGCTTTGAGCGAAGATTATGAAACAAAACTAATCAATCAATTAGATCTGACCCGTCAACAGGAGGACGGGACAGGACCTCAAAGTAATAATTGCATTATACACAGGCCTATCTATTCAGTCAAGTCAGCAACGCCCTGTTTGCAGAGACATATATCCTTCCTTTACAAGGGGATATTATTTTACAGTCTCCTGACCTTGGGTATACTGAGTGAAACACAACACCGCCCACAAGTCTATTTCTGTATTTGTCTTACAGTAAGCTGTCGGTAATTGAATCATGCTCTCCAGGACTGCTAGACATGAATGGTGCTACGGACACATTCAGACTTAGTCACAGTGGTTAAGAACAAGGCATAATCTTGCGGCTACTATGTGACTCCAATTATGTTTGTTTTTCCTTAGCTTTGTTTTTATTACTTGAACTGTGAGGCTTTACGTGCCGACTTAAGGTCTTTCGCTTTGGAAATCAGGTGATCTATTTTAAAGCTTGGTCTTGAGCTATAACTGAACCCCATTCACATTTAAGCTCTTTGATTCGGGCTCTTCACACTTTAGATTTGTGATAGCAATAGCCTGCGTTTCATCTCACCACAGAAATAAGACAGTGAAAGTCCATGTTAGCATGTGTACTTGGCACTCAGGTGATTTTTATGACTCATCCCTCCAGTACGCAGTGTCTTTTGTAAGACACCCAAGAAGTTTGGTTGTTGACAGTGGAAGAAGAGTCACAACCAGAACTGAAGGCTCCAAAATGCAAATGTAACTGGTGCATCAAGTTGATAGGAAACAAGTAGGTAAATACAAAAAAACTGAGAAGAAAAAAAAAAGCACGTCTCCATCTACTTCTGTCACGTCTGCTTTGAGAGAAATCCACAAATTAACCGCACCTCTGATTGTGTAACAACACCGGATCTAGGTGATTCCCTTTGGCAAGAAAACAACAACCCTCAGTTTCTAAAGATAGATAAACTGGTCTATTCGCATGCTGTCAAAGGCTTAATCTCAAAACTAACAAACCACAAACTGAAAGTCATTCGCTATCCAACAACAAGCCTCTGCTCCTCCACCTAAGGTCAGGTGAGAAGCTCATTTGCATAAGTGTGTGTTCAAAACAACTGAACCAGCAGATATGGGCGTGCGAACGGGAAGCGTTCATTCAGTTGGAATTAAAGTAGGTAATTGCCGATCACAGGAGTAAGTCCAGGACCTTCATTATGGGTTGGGATTGCAGGTGCCGCACAAATACATCAACCCCTCCCACACAAGTCTGCCACTTCAAATGTGGAAATCCTGCACAACTTTTGCCCCTACTTGACACCCAGCATCCGTATGCACAGCTGCATGCAGTACAGCCTGAGCAGAGACCCCATATCAAACTGAGCGCCTTCAGTGTGGTCCTCTCTCGCTCCCTCTCTCCCTCTCTCTCTCTCCCCCAACACGTATTTATTTGGGCAGGTGTTCAGTGAATAGGGGGAGCAACTGTCTGATAATGGACCACTGTACACAACGTCAGCACACATACGACCTTCATGGCTCTTTCAAATTTTGTTTGGTCTACACATCAGAGCGGTGATTTAAAATCTCTAATCCAGGGTTCAAGTGAGTGTGTGTGTGTGTGTGTGCGTGTGTGTGTGCGCCTTGAACAAAAACGCTGATGTAGGATTGAGAGTATCACCAGTCACGATATATATGACACTTTTAAATCAGATACAGCATTATAGGGTTGCACGATATCGTTTGAGCATCGTCATTGCAATGTACGTGTGTGCGATAGTCACATTGCAGAGCCTGCGATGTCGGAGGCGAATGAACTCATCTAATTTCAAGGGTAGCTGACTGAGATATACTGCATGTGACTGTATGTGCTGTGCAGTGATCCACCAATCACATTCGTTCTTTACTCAGTTTCCAATCGGACTACCATGCCAGCCGTCAATCAAAATCAGAGAGGAGGAAACCACGCCCCTGCACATGGAGTTGAGTCGCTGGCGCTGCTTGTTGTGCCGAGAATTACTTTCGGGACGTTACTCATCACTGTTTAGCCCCACAAATATGAATTGTACGGGTTTTAAACTGTACATTTCTGTGGACCACTCTACTATAAGCGATGCACGTTTTGCGAGGTGCATGCAACTCTCAGCGGGCACGAGTCTCTTGGCACAACACCTTTAACAACAACAACAACGATTATAAAACAAGCAAATAAGAGAAAACCACTTGTTGCCAAAAAGAAAAGGAAAGTCAGTTATCTGGAATTATTTCAGATACAAGAAGGATGATGTCGACCAAAACACGTGTTCTGTGTTCATCTGTTCATCAATAACATCCCAGCGCAATAAAAGCTAAAAATATCTCCAAGACAGACAGAAGCCATTCTACTAACATTCAAAAAAAGAGGTAAGATCAGAGCAGGTTAACTGGTTAACTCCAATATCGTGCAGCCTTACAGCAATAAATAGGAGAAGCTGTAGTGGACAGAGAAAACCCTCTGGAATAAGCCACACCCACTATCTGGTCGTTATCAGACTATACCTACAGATAATGACGTCCCTTCACACCCTTATTTCGTGCCACCTCTCCTTCACTGCTGGGTAAACTTTGACAGTGACAGGTTCAACATTTTTCAAGAGTTTAACATTTCTGAACTCTCAATGACCAGAAAGAGAAAAAAAAAAGCTAAAATGAAGCAGTCGGTGCAGAATGGATGCTATGAGCCTCGTCATGGTGCTGGCATTTGAAACTCTGCACTCCTCTGGAAAGACTCAAAACCTTTCCTTGGACTTTGGACCCTCATGAGAACCCCCACTTAGGTCTGCACAGCTCCCCTATTAATGCAACTGCCCACCATTAATGCTGCAAGATTGCATCAACAATTCCTCTTAAGGGCGGTGAGAACAGTGCTGCAGGAGTGCATCCATCCCAGAAGAAGGAGAACTTCTAAGCTGGCTGCCATCTGCTTGCAATTTTGTGTAAAAATCCAATCTGAGAGCAAAGTTCTTGTGAGATAAGCATCTTCAGGGCAAAACTTTCTCAGATGAGGGTCCCCGGCCTAATTTGCGACCATTATCTGTATTTATGTCCTCTGTAGGGCAGTTAAGGAGATTGTGAGAAGCCAGTTTGGTTACAGCATTTACTGTAATACAGAGAGTTGGAGCTGACTGTGCTTGGGGGGTCTTCAGGATGTAAGAGCAGCGCTATCACGTCGTCGGTGCGCGTTCAGGTTTAGCAGGCTGTTGCAGTCTGGGTTGTGATCGGGGCTTTGATAAGGCATTGTTGATGGGCTGTGGAAAAGCGTTTTATCACTGGAGCATAATAGCGTGCATAAAAGCCATGAACCTGCGCTGAATAAATATGAGGCAGAACACACCCACAGAGAGACAAATGTGCATGCACAATACACACACACACACGCACACACACTCCTGCACACCTTGTGCTTGTCGCACCTTTCCTGCAGATTATCTCAGTGAAAGAATGGTGGGATCTCAGGGCTTTTTCCCTCCCTGCGTCTCTTGCGCTGTGTGTGTGTGTGTGTGTGTGTGTGTGTTCGCCCTCTCTTTCCTCCTCCCTCCTTCACTATCTCTCTCTCCACCTTTCTCTTGGTGTACTCCTTCCTCTCTCTCTCTCTCTCTCTTTCTGCCTCCATGCCTGAGTGCAAGGTGAGGATCACAAAAGGAACACCTGGCAAACACGGATGTGGTCCTCCTCGTCTCATTGTCACACGCATGCACCCCTCCCTCCCTCCCAACTCCTCCTCCTCCTCCTCTCCCCCCTTTTGACTCCCTTTTCAGAGAGGCGCTCGCAAGAATCGCAAACAAGGTTTTCAGCAGTTGGAGGCAAGAGGAAGAGGAGGAGGAGGAGGAGGAGGTGCACCCCACCACCACCTCCACCACCACTCACTCCCTCGCTTCACCTCCCCCCCAGCTCGCCTTTCACACGCCAGGAAGTGCTATTCAGACCAGGAGCTGCATGTACATGTCCCTCTCAACCAGTAACACCTCACTTCTTTTTCTTTCTTCCTCTGAGCGCACATGTATAGAGCGTGTGTGTGTGTGTGTGTCAGTGTGTGTGTGTGTGTGTGTGTGTGTGTGTGTTTGAGGACAGGATAATAAAGGGATCGTTGGAGGAGCAAAAGAGGAAAAATACAGAAAATGAAGAAACATTTCCAGAATTTCTGGCTCATACTGTCCTGATAAAACTCTGATAAACACGTATAGCTCAACTTTTTGAAATCTATCAGAATACGTTTTTATGTCCTCTGGGGTCACAACTTGATCCGCACAAGCAGAGGCATGAAAACTTTCCATTGAGATAAATTCAACTTAAAACCAACAGAAATAATTGAATTATGAGGCTCTGACTTCTATCCTTAATTCATCCTGACAGTTTAATGGCTTTACAAACCTTGAATTAACCATGAACAGCCACCGGTCTGCATGCACCTCACAATATATCTTATTATGACTGTCATATCTGATAAAACATAGTTGAAAACCTACACACAAAGACCAAACCTTACATAATCTCAGAATAGGTTGAACCCGGTTTAAACTTTGGGTTTAGAATAAATAAGAAAAGAGGGGGACTGAGGATCTCAGCCCAGGCCTGTGTCTAGTTAAAGCTTTCAGTCATTAGTAAGGATAGAGCATGAGAGGCACGTTGGCTCAGGTACAGGTCTTCATTGTTTGATTTTATAACAAGTCCTAATCAAGCATGTGGTTCTGTTCTCAGATTCTGGGTTTCTTTTATTTCTAAAATAAACGAAAGTGAAGTTAATGTGGGACTTTTTGCAAAACTGTGACAAAGATGCATGCACTCCCTTAGACGTGTGTCCTACTGCGGATGTTTTCACGCATTTATATCGCTTGAACTTGCAAAGAAAAAGTAAAAAAAACTCTTTTAATCATCCGTCCATTATCTATACTGCTTATCCCATTTGGAGCCATGGGGGACTGGAGCTAATCCAGAGCGGAGTCATTAAAAACAAGGAGGGATGGACATGACGGTTACTTAACTGCTGCAATCAAAGGTCAACTAAAGCTGCCAAGTACCAATTTCTCTATAATAAACAGGAAATAATAGTCTGGGGCTAAATGACGACCCTCTTATTTTGATTTTTTTTTTCTTGTTATCCAATCTTCTTTGTGAACAACAGGCTGCGGTCACAACGAGGGAAACCAGATGTGGGGACTATTTTTAAAGCTGTTACAAAAGGCACCCGCTTCTGACCAATCACTCGGTATGTTTACAGGATATGAAGAAACTGATTTATTGTATTTGACTGAATAAACTTGGACTTTTAGAATCCATACAAACATGTCAGCCGCACTGAGAATACACTCGGTTAATTTCTCAAAGTCAGACTAACTCACCTGGATATATATGGCTGGGTGTATTTGTATATTTGTGTTTTTAACAGACCTCATTAATAGTTTTATTTTAGTACATTTCATCCTGAGCAGTGATACAGTTTTATACAAAAAGCTTATTTAAACGACATATATACAAATCCAGTGCAGAAGGGCACACACAAGTATACATAAACTAGGGCTGGGCGATAAACCGAAAAATTTACCGATACCGAAATTTACGACAATAACCAACGTCATTTTGCCCATGTCAATATATTTGGTGACAAAAAAAGTAAATAAATAAAAGTTGTTTTTGGATGTGTGTAGGTAGGCTATGGTCTCATGTCCCTTTTAGACGCTGTCCTACGTCTGAGACTTGACTCCACCCCATCCAGTCCGTAACCAAGAGGGAAAGACAGGTGAGGAGATGGAGGACGGTTTAAAAGTTGGAGCGGCTGAAGTAGACGAAGTTAATGTGGGAGGGGGTGAGCTTGTGGAGTAGCTATCGCCACTTTATCATTATCGAGGTGAACTGCTCAATATATCGTGATCTGAGGCCATATCGCCCAGCCCTAACATAAACTCATATCTATCATAGAGTTACAAACTTTAGAGTATATTCAGTAAAATCTGCGTCTAGTCTGCCACCATGTGTCATTAATCCTTTGATATCACAGCCTGCTGTCACTAAGACGAGTCTCCTTCGTTTACAGTTCATCGTCTTTTCAGTGCCTTTTTTTCACAAAGTGATGACGAGCTTCTGAAAATGAACCAGACTGAACTTCCCCGTCAGTGTCCTTTTATGGGAACCTCTAAGAGATAAAACCCCCCAGGAGGACGGCCCCTTGTCGGCACCCTTTCTCCTGTCCTACCACCTTTTGTCGAGTCATAATAATGCCAGTGAAGAAGAAGACAAACCATCACAAAACGCTGCAGAGAAAAGGGCCCTTGTTCCCGGGCTTTCAAAGAGAAGGGAATCAGGGCTTGAACACCAGCAGCACAGTGAGCAGCGCTCAACATGATTAAGCTCCTTTCACACTTCCATGCAGGTACTGGTATGTAATAGGTTTGAAAAAAGGCCTTTCTCTTCCTCTCAGGGCTTTTGTCAGGGTCAGGATGTTGTTGTAAGTCCATCTTTCTGTTCGGTGATAGATAACGAAGCTATCACTGTGAAGCATCAGCAGGAGCCAACCTGCACAGGCTGGGTGGAGGACCATACAGGGTGTGAGTGTGTCAGGTGGTGGTGGTGGTGGTGGTGGTGGTGTGTGTGTGTGTGTGTGTGTGTGTGTGGGGGGGTAGGTTTGTTATGATGGACTCTATGTGGGTTCGCTTGAATTAAAGTGTGCATACTTACTCATACATGTGGTTGGATTTTGTATCTCTCTGTCCAGCTGGTTTAACTGAAGTTTGATCAAATCAGACTTAAGCTTCAAATTCAACTTTATGCTCTGATAGAAGAAATCTGAATTAGAGGAAGACAACAGCGTGTGGATGCAGGCTCATAAAACTTTCTAATTTACGCATAAAATGTAAGAATTTTGATGTTTTATTTGATATTTCATTACTGCTTAACTCTGAAAGCCCCTTAAATTCTCATTTACCCTGAGATTGTCTCTATCAGACTCACTATAACAATCTTATAAGTTCAGTTTTGGAGAATTTTTCTGCCTTTAAAGACAGCAAATGTATAATGAACAAAAATAATGCCTTAAATTAGGGCTGGCCGATTAACCAAAATTTTACCATTACCCAAGTTTACGACAATAACCATCGTCATTTTGCCCATGTCGATATATTCAGTGTCATAAAAGTAAATAAATAAAAGTTGTTTTTGGATGTGTGTAGGTAGGCTATGGCCTCAAAGAGGGAAAGACAGGTGAGGAGATGGAGGACGGTTCAAAAGTTGGGGGGCTGGAGTTGCGGCTGAAGTAGACGAAGTTAACGTTGGAGGGGGTGAGCAGCTTGCGGAGTAGTTATAGTGCATTTATGGTCAATATTTTGTGATCATAGACTGTACATACTATGGATAACTTGGTTCCACCTACCGCCAGTATACAGATTTGAAGCCAAAAAGCTCTCTGTATTTCTGCGATTTTTCTTCACGCCAAAAGGCTGTATCAGGTGTCAATCATAGAAAACATGAACCCCCTAATAACTTTTAAAAATGGAGCTTCACAGAAAAAAAGAGGACTTGAGCACAAACCAAGCAAGGGGGAGAAAAATTCATGTTCTGTGTAATTAATTTCTAAAGTTTGTCCACAGCTCCATAAGCTTTGCTGGCGGAGGTGGGATTTATGATCGATACTGCAGCCCGTCAACAGAGGGTGCTGTTCTCGGAGTTGCTCCACCCAGCAAGGAGGCAGACTCAGTCCATTCTATATACAGTCTATGGTCGTGAAATTGATTTGAGACCATATCACCCAGCCCTACTTTGTATTTAGACAGGGTGGATCAGTTTGTCCACTTGGGGCATATAACTGACACTAATTGAGCTTTAAATTTCAATTAAACTTCAATTGTGTTTACTGAATTTTGATTTGACCAAATATTCCCACATTTGTAAGAGTTTTGGCCTCGTTTTAATTAATGTTTTAAAAATAGTCAGCAATTCTCAGGTCCTTTATAAATGAAATGCTGAGTGCAGAGCTAGCATTGATAGCCACACTGGTGAAAATATTGAGAACCAGACAGAAACGAATGAAGAAAAATACCAGACATTTCACCAAAAACCTCTTACCCCACTGTGACTCTTTTATTTCTGCAGACGGTGTAAGTCAATGCTTTGCTTTCCAGAAGAGGCTTTTAAAAGTCAATGATGTTTTAACTGGAAATATCTGATTCCGCTTTAAATTTAACGCCGTTCCTTCGCGTGCACACACGCAGCCAATACAATTAAGCCTTCTTACGGGTGAGGGCAAAACGTCCGCTGAAAGCAGGCAAGTAGGGAGGGTAGAGAGTGGAGGAGGCAGGGCTCGAGGATGGTTTATACGGGAGTGAGTGTTCATATTTGAGTGCATGCTTGCTTCAGGAAGACTTTGACAGCTTTACTGCGCTGTCAAGTATTTATAACCTACAACCTTTTCAGAGCCCCTAACCTGGGACCTGAGCCTGCCCTCTCTCCGTCTGAGGCCCTCACCACAGCGGGCCCCTTCTCCACTGTAACTCCGCAGCACTTCGGGCCCTGTAAATCTCACAGTTAAGGGACTGCACTGCGCGTATGTGCGAGTGTATGAGGTCCCAGCTCCTGCTATGACAACAGACGAGCCATCACGGCCTCGAGAGCACCTATTTGCCTGTCAAGCTTAATCTTGGCTCGCTAGTTCGACTGGAGGTGGCTTTTACTGTCTGTCAAGAAAGACAGAAAGAGAAGGGGGGGAAAAAAAAAGGAGCGGAGCGGATATTTCAGGGGCGGAAAGTGGTGCATACCAGAAATAGCTTGACTTTCACAGCTAGGAATCCCATTTTCAGTGGGAGGCATGTTTTTTTTTCTTTTTTTCTTTTTTGGTCCATGTGCGGA